GGAGCTCATCAAGGAGATGACCGCCAGGTGTTGATCATCAGCGGCCACCTTGGAGCTGCATGCAGCCAGACTCATACTGCCCATAGCAGTATGAGTCCGGCTGCATGCCATAGAAGGTTGGCTAAAATCTGACCTTCCAGACAGGAGTTATTGTCACTTCCCATTTTGTCTCGAATGTAAAGGACTTCCTTTAGGCTTTTCAACATGTCATATGTGATAGTCAACAGTTAGCGAATACGGTTTCAATCTTACATCTTACACAGTGCCAAGCTGGAACAGTCACCCAATAATCATCAGTTTGTTCTCTGAGTGGGCCAGGCTTAAGTCAAGTCATGAACCAACAACATTAATTTGTCTACAAGTGCGCACTGATGAAGCACAAAAAAAAACGGGTGTAGATTAGATGATGTATCACTGAGATATAACTCTTGGAATATCCTGATGCATGCTCAATAATCCAGGTAGAAAAATCCAAAAAAGTTCAATCTGGTCCTCTGGACATTCAAAAAAACAAAAAAACAAAACAAAGCAAAAAAAAATCTAGAAACGTTTCGTCTCTCATCCAAGAGACTTCCTCAGTCTGAGGTGCTGTTTTCAGCTCAGTCTCTTAAATAGCACCTTCTTAGAGTGGATCAACCAGTTTGCTGCTGACAACCAAAATCAGCTGATCACATGCTCAAGAAGGACCATCAGCCTAACAATGGGTCATTAGCACACTGATGGCTGTTTACTACTCACAGAGGGCTGAGTGATACTAGCAATCACAGCATTGTAAGAGGGGGACAGTTGAACCCAGAGGCCTCCACCCCTGTTTAATGATGGACAATTTCTTTTCACAAAGATGGCCTCCTTTACTCCTCTCTCAAACCATCGTTCCTCTCTGAACTCTTGGAATAATCTAGGGGGCGCACTGGAGTGAAATGTTAAACAACAATACCCATATGTGTAGAAGTGCTAACTGATCATGCACATAAAATCTGGTACAGATCGGATGATGTGTCACTGACATATAACTGTTGGATTAATCTAGGGGGTGCATTTGAGTCTTATGTTAAACTGCAATATCAATGTGTCTACAAGTGTTCATTGATTACACACAATAAAAGTGGCGCATATCGGATGATGTATCACTGAGATATAACTGTTGGAATAATCTAGGGGGCGCACTGGAGTCAATTGTTAAAGAAAATTAAAAATGTGTGTACAAGTGCTCACTGATTATGCACCAAAAATCTGGTGCAGCTCAGATGATGTATCACAGAGATATAACTTTTGGAATAATCTTGGGGGCGCAATGGAGTCAAATGTTACAGACCAATACCAGTGTGTCTAGAAGTGCTCACTGATCATGCACAAAAAAATCTGGTACATATTGGATGATAATTCACTGAGATAATTCACTAATTAACTTATTAAATAATCTAGGAGGAGCACTTGAGTCATATGTTAAACCACAACATCAGTGTGTCTAGATGTGCTCACTTATTATGCACAAAAAATCTGGTTCAGATCGGATGATGTATCACTGAGATATAACTATTGGAATAATGTAGGGGGCGCACTTGAGTCCAAAGTTAAACAACAATATCAATGTGCCTATAAGTGCTCACTTATCATGTACATAAAGCTGGTACATATTGGATGATATTTCACTGAGATATAACTGTTGGAATAATGTAGGGTGCGCAGTTGAGTCCAAAGTTAAAAAACAATACCAATGGGTCTAGAAGTGTTCACTAATGACGCACACAAAATCTGGTTCAGATCAGATGATATGTCACTGAGATATAACTTTTGAAATAATCTCAGGGGCGCACTCGAGTCAAATGTTAAATAACAACACAAATATATATAGAAGTGCTCACTGATCAAGCACAAAAAAATCTGATGCAGATCGGATAATATATCATTGAGATATAACAGTTTGAATAATCTAGGGGGCGCACTTGGGTCTAATGTTAAACAACAATACCAATGTGTCTAGAAATCCTCACAGATGACGTACCAAAAATCTGGTGTGGATAGGATTATGTATCATTGAGATATAATTGTAGGAATAATGTAGGTGGCTCTGTGGAGGCTATTGACCACTTATCATGGACCAAGGGGCAGATAATGGTCGATCATAGTGAAAAACAAGATACAGATGTTCACCGAGTTTCCGAATTCTCGGTCCAAAAATGTCTTGGGGCTGAGGTTTTAAAATATTCTAAGGGGCGCTGTGGAGGCTATTGGCCACTTATCATGGCTTCCTGTTCAAGGGGTGGATCATGATCGATCATATTGATTTTGGTGCACCTCATTTAAAAACTGTGGAATTTAGAGCCAAATGTATGGCGACTGCGTTACGTCTTACTTCGCCGCGCCGCCAACATGCTCCACCCAAAACAGTCAGTGTTGGAAATCAAGTTACACCAACATGTCTTTGGTCACTGGACACAATATTATGCTGATTAGGTAACAGGGGTCAGATAGGGATCGTTCAACATAAAACTTTATACTTCCTGTTGTCAGGTGGCGTGGCTTAAGTGATGTCATGATTTTGATTTGACCATTAAGTCTTACAAAGGACCGGATGTGCATCAATCACTGAAGGTTTGATGTCTCAGACATTTTTTGTGTATGAGCTATTAGCATTTTGTTTTTCATGGCAAGATGTCAAACTTTGAGGTCTGGCCCTGCCCCTTCAGCATGCTCTGAAACGAACCGTTTAGATAACTTTGTGTCCCTCATGCCTTTTGACAAACATAGCTAAGTTTGAAACCAATTGAGCAAAATCCCTAGGAGGAGTTCGTTCAAATGCGGAGGCTGTAAACTGCCAAAAAGGTGAGAAAATTGGGCCGGCATTCCCAAATGACCACCTTCCTGTTTATCGTACAATGTTGGTGCCAGAGGGTTTTCTGTGCATCTTGGGGAATTGGAGAAGCGTACCAAATTTCATGTTTCTACGACAAACTAAGGTTAATGCGAAGGGTATTTAGAAAATTTCTAGGTGGCGCTCTTGAGCCGTTTCTGCTGCGATTTTTGCAATGCCCTTAAAATACGTAATTTTTCACCAGTCCTGATGCGTCCACCAAATTTGGTGACTTTTGGGATATGTTAAGGCCCCCAAAAGGCCAATTCATTTGCCAAAAAAAAATTGTAGCTCAGGCCTGAACAGAGCAATTACAATAGGCGTTCGCAGCGCTTCGCTGCTCGGCCCTAATGAAGCACAAATACACAATCTAACAAGTTTGAGTCAGGTCCTCTGGACGGATTCTTTTTTAAATCCAAAAGACTTCTTCAGTCGGGCAGCACGGTGGTGCAACTGGTAGAGTTGCTGCCTCTCAGCGAGCAGGTCCCTGGTTCAATCCTGGTCCGGGGGCCTTTCTGGGTGGTTTGCATGTTCTCTCCGTGCATGCGTGTGTTTTCTCCGGGTACTTCGGTTTCCTCCCACAGACCAAAAACATGCATGTTAGGCTGACTGGTAACTCTAAATTGTCCCTAGGTGTAAGTGAGAGTGTGAATGGTTGTTTGTCTCGTTTGTCTTTAGGTGTCCCTGTGATAGACTTGCAACCCATCCAGGGTGCACTCCGCACCTCACACAGTGATTGCCGGACATGGGCACCAGCTACCCCCGTGACCCAAAATGGAAAAAGCTGGTAAAAGATAATGGATGCATGGACTTCTTCAGTCTGATGAGCTGCAATAAACTCAGTCTTATAAATAGTACCTTCTCATAGTGGATCATCCAGGTTGATGGTGACATCAAGAACTAGCTGTTCACATGATAAAGGAGGACCATCAGCCTAACTATTGGTCGTTAGTGCCCTGATGGCCACTTGCTATTCACAGAGTGATACTAGCAATAACAGCATTGTAAGAAGGTAACAATTGGACATGGAGGCCTCCGCCCCTGTTTAATGATGGACGGGTTCTCTTCACAAAGATGGCTTCCTTCACTCCTCCTGAACTTGAGCCTTCCTGAACCCCGGCTGGATTGTCTCTTTACTCGCTGAGGTCCACGCTTTGTCAATCCAGCTGAGGACTTGTTGGAATGTGGTGTGGCGCATCCGTCTCGTGGCGGTGAAGCTGTGGTCTCTGCTCACCATCCACTCCTCCCACAGGCGACGCAAGGCAGTTTTAAAGCTCCGGTTAATGGAGATGTCGAGAGGCTGGAGGATTTTTG